GGCCTACTAACTGCCAACCATTTCATGAGATGGAATTAGGTTGAGCCATGTGAAATTGCCAATATTAGACTCTTTGTCCTACAAAAATGGCAATTTCGCAGGATTCAACCTGCAACTTTATACGTGAGTTGCTTTCACACATCATGTCAGTTGATCCTCAAAAAATCTTTGCCTGAAATTAGGCCGGTGTCCACAGCTCCGTTTATAAGGACAATGAGATTCCACTGAGTGGCCAGTGACTTGCCCAAGGTTCCAGAGCAGGGAATTAGAATAGCTCCTGGTCCTCAGCAACTCTGGCCTCGTCTGCTGTAAACACCGGTACTATGAGAAAAGGAACCAGGTGAGAACTATGCCCGGTGTGTGGATACGCCGGTACAACATTTCCAGAAACCTATTTGGCAGTATATATGAAAAGTCTTAAAATCATTTGTTCCTAGCCAGATGTGGTGGCTTAAGCCTGTAATCCTAGCACTTTGAGAGGCCGAGGTGGGAGGATCTCTTGAAGCCAGAAGTTCCAGACCAGCCTGAGCAAGAGCAAGACCCTGTCTCTACTATTATAAAACTAGAAAAATTAGCCCTGCATGGTAGTGCACTACTTCAGAGACTGAGGCAGGAGGATTGCTTGAGCCCAGGAGTGGGAGGTTGCAGTAAGCTATAATGATGCCACTGCACTCTAGCCTAGACAAAAAAAATATTTGCAAATCTCACACACAAAAAAAATAATAAGTTTGTTACCTTGGACTTGGAGGTGCCTACGTTAGGAGTCTAAGATTCATGCACAAAGATGTTAATGTCAGTATTATGTATAATAGGAAAAAAATTGAAGTCAGCCTAAGACTTTAACAGTAGGAGAATGCTTAAATAAGTAGTTAAATCTATTCAATGCGCCTTTAGAAATTAATGTACTCCCAACAATCCCCTCCCAAGTTTATGCAGAATCAGAGTTAGCACCATTATTAATGGCTTCACTGTATTTTTAACAGACACATTTTTCAAGCAGTGAAACCGGGTTGCTAGATTGGTTATTAAACTGCAGATCAATGTGTTAAAGTGTTGTCTTTCTAAAAATATATAATGGAAAAAAAGCGGTACACGCAAAAAATCAATACCACTAAAAAACTGTTTATGAGGTATTTTTAATAGGAAATGTTTATGGTATAACTCGCAGTTTACAAAAGGCAAAGCAAATGAAGTAGTAACGATTGGTAGGATCATGGGGTGATTTTTATTTTCTTTGTTTTTTTCTGAGTTTCCTTCAGTTTTCACCAATAAGCATAAAATACATTCATAGTCAGGAAATAGCAAATATATTTAAATAAAGGACAAGAGAAAGCAGTAGTTTTAGCAGGTTGAAAAAAATCAGCATCTTATTCATGGAAAAAATCTTCAAGCCCCTTTATCAAGGTGGAGGAATGGCCAGAGCAATTGCATGAAGACCATTTAGAGGATGATGCCCAGAGCCTTTGTCTTTTTTTGGAAGGAAGTGTAGTAGACATCTTTGGTCATTATGTACCTCATTTATGAGAGATTTCATGGATAAAGTAGGAGAGACAGCTAAGTGTGAAAGGAGAGGTGGGTTTCAGCCTTTGAAAGGTTCATAATCTGTGAAAAATGCCTACCTGCCTGCAAAGCACTCACAAAAAAATCAGTGTGAGAATTTACATCTGTGTAACTTGTCTACAGGGAGAGAAGCTCTTATATTTACACTATTCTACTGCCTTACACAATTCTAGAACATTCTTCCGCCATACTTAGAGAATAGTTCTACAAATGACAAGAGCTGACATTTTGGCTGAAAAATCTTTGTAAAACATGTAACAGTCTTTTCTGGTTTCTTAAGCGGATAGCACTGGACAGACTTTAACATTTTTAAAATAAGGAATGATGATCATTATGAATAGTGCTGCAATCCAGTAGAGTCCCAAATGGCCTCATTTACTTCTTTTGTCTGCTTTTTATAGATTTATAAGCTTCCCTCGCTGTCTACACTGATAGTACAGTCTCCCTTCTATGATAGTACATCTCTCTTCCACAGTAGCCTAAACCCTTCTAATTGTTTTTCATTTTCACCAGACTCATTGGAACTGTATATAAAATAAAATTAACAGCCTCTGAAAGATAATGTCTCCTGCAAATTAAGTGTACGTACAGTCCTTAGTGCTTGAGCACTTAAATTTGGCCCTAACTAAAATTTTAGTTGACGGAGAAAAAATTTGCAAAGCACACATCTAATAAGGGGGCAACTATAATAAAATACAGAAGGAACTCAATAGGAATAAAATCCAATTTTAAAATGGGCTAATAAGCACCAACATGGACATTTCTCTAGAGAAGACATACAATGGCCAACAGGTATTAAATATGAGAAAATGCTTCACATCACTAATCATCAGAGAAATGCAAATCAAAACAATGATATATCACTTCCCATCTATTAGAATGGCTATTATTAAAAAAAAAAAAAGTATTGGTGAGTATAAAGGGAAAAGGGAACCCCTGCACACTGTCGGTGGGAATTACTACAGTCATTATGGAAAACAGTGTGGAGGTTCCTCAAAAAATTAAGAATAGAACTACCATACAATCCAATAATCCCACTTCTGGGTTTATGTCCAGAGGAAAAGAAATCAGCACGTTGAAGAGATATTTGTACTCCCTTGCTCCTTGCATCATTACTCACAACAGCCAAGAGGTAGAAGCAAGTTAAATGTCTATCAGCAGATGAAATGAATAAAGAAACTGTGGGGGCCAGACATGGTGGCTCACGCCTGTAATCCTAGCACTCTGGGAGGCCAAGGCAGGAGGATCCCTCAAAGTCAGGAGTTCAAAACCAGCCTGAGCAAGAGTGAGACCCCCATCTCTACTAAAAATATGAAAGAAATGAATTGGCCAACTAATATATATAGAAAAAATTAGCCGGGCATGGTGGCGCATGCCTGTAGTCCCAGCTACTTGGGAGGCTGAGGCAGAAGGATTGCTTGAGCCCAGGAGATTGAGGTTGCTGTGAGCTGGGCTGATGCCATGGCACTCACGCTAGCCTGGGCAACAAAGCGAGACTCTGTCTCAAAAAAAAAAAAATATTGATGGGGCCTCCTGATGGCCTAAAGTGGGAGGAGGCTGGAAGACTGTGCTTGAGTGAAAGCCAAATGGCCAGAACATGAATTGAAGGAGAAAAACTATTCGAGACATGCCAAGAATAATCCTGCTGCCTACAATTATTAAGTGGGGGAGGTAACAGAAAATGAACAGAATGTGATTGGGTTTTTTTAAATAAGTAGAACTGTTTGTTTGTGCATTGAGATGAGAATGCCTAGAAAAATATATACAATAGAGGTTCCTTCTAGAGACTGAGATTGGGAAAGGAGAGAAGTGGAATGAGGAACCTCTTTTTAATTTATATACTTCTCTTTTCATTTTTAAACTCAAAGTCTGTATTATTGTTTCTATTTAAAACACTAGTATTAAGAATTTCTCTGGGCTGGGCATGGTGGCTCATGCCTGTAATCTTAGCACTCTGGGAGGCCAAGGCGGGAGGATCACTTGAGGCCAGGAGTTTGAGACTAGCCTGAGCAAGAGCAAAACCCCGTCTCTACAAAAAACAGAAAAATTGGCCAGATGTGGTGATGCACACCTATAGTCCCAGCTACTCGGGAGGCTGAGGCAGGAGGGTTGCTTGAGTCCAAGAGTTTGAGGTTGCAGTGAGCTATGATGCTACCACTGCATTCTAACCCAGGCTACAAAGCCAAGACCCTGTCTCAAAAAAAAAAAGAATTTTTCTGAGATTGGCCTTAAAACATCCCATCTCCAAAAGAAGCCTGTTGGAGGGAAGGAGTGAAAAAGGTGGTTAGACAGTGTCAAAACGATAGCATTAAAACTGGCTGATGGTATATGTTGGGGTTCATTATATTCTTCTGCTTATATTTGAAAATCTCTATTTAAAGGTAAAGAGCATGGATGCACATTACATTAGAAATCACAAGCTTTGGCAGGATTGGGCTCAAGTTAACACACAGCAACAATGGGCTAGCAGTGGGCAGAGGCTGCCCCCTTAAGAAGGGCTTGTGTTTTCTCATTCCTCACACATGCGACACATGCCATGTGGGTTTGTTGCTTGCTCTGGCCGCTCAACTCATTTATGTGAGCTGACCCGGTAGCAATCTGAGGTTGAGCCCCGGCCTAGATCACTTGTACTGAATTAGAAATTATATGCTTTTCTCAGATTCACGACCGCCATATTCACTCCAAAGTGAGGTTATCTGAGAAGAACTACAGGCCTTTCCAGATATGTTCCCCCAAATAAAAGCAGCATAGCTAGAAATCATTTCAGAAGGAAAGTAATTGAGCCAATAAAATAGTTTTAGATGAGAAAGGCTGGATTCATGGGAATGTCCTGAATACATGATTCAATGGAGGTGAAATGATAATTTTGCTAATTACAATGTGCCCTAAACCCCTGTCTATTATGCTTTGTTTTCTCCAGTTCTTTGCCTTCCTGGTCACCATCTGCTACGCTGGAAATACATATTTCAGTTTTATAGCATGGAGATCCAGGACCATTCAGTGACTTACCATTTTGATAATTAAAAGGAAAATAAAAAATGAAGACTCTCACTGTAAAAACAGCTGTAGGTATAATGTATATTTCCAGGGAATTGTATTTAACTAATGTTTTTATATACTTAGTTAAATTTGCTCGCAAATTATCATTTGTTACAATTAAACTGGATACTTATTTGCAAAGTGTTGTAGCTTGTAATGAACTCTTAAGTGTCTTATTGATGTTTTCATAGACCTTATTTTCTTAGACAATGTTTAAATAGATAAATGGCTAATATTAAGAATGTGTCAGGTTTTGAAACCTAACTTTTTAAATGCCAGATTCTTTTTTGATTAAATGTTACAAAATCCCCACTCATGTCGTGTCTGATTTGAGAAAGGTCACCTCCTACTGTTGAAGCCAGAGGCTGGGTACTGGGGGGGGTCTTCCTCCTCGCAGGGATGCTCAGGGGTGATGCTGCCAGGAGGACATTGGTCTACAGTCACCAGGACAGGGAGGCAGGAGAGATTCATGTCCCCAAGTCTTAGGATCATTGATCTGTGTCCATGATTCTCACCTGCTAACAAGTTGGCCCACTGAGCACTGTGACTGATGTGCTCCTGATATTTTTTCTAATACATGTTAGAATATAATCATACAATCATTCTAATACATATTAGAATAACTATATAACCATTCAAAGGATAAATGTCTAAATGTCCCTTAAAATCATCTTGCTGACCACAGTACCACGTTGTACCATATTTTGTGGAAACTGGGGGACCAAAAGGCCTCAATATGTCAGATCTCCAGTGTGAATATATTATAACTCCATTATTAGATATTATCAGATAGTGAGAAAAACTCAAGTTGGCAAAGCAGATATGCACTTACAGGAAATGTTTTTGGGTAGGACGGTTATTGCTTGTACAGCAGTATATCTTGGGTAATTTTTCAATATGAGCTTCTTCTGAAAAACAGAAAACCACAGAAACGTTAGTGTAGTCGATGACAGAGAAGGGAGTTGACGCCGTGCACTGTTGATATGACTCCCTGGCCCTCACCTGTTGGTCTCTCACCTGTTCAGCAGGTTGTTTCTGTTGTTCATTGTGTTGGTCCTCCTGTTTTTCTGGTTCTAATTCCTTATCTAAGCTCTGCTGATCCCTATATAGGAGAGTCAAGATTTCCCCACGGCCCAATAATACCCACCCCAGACCTTTGAAAGTGCCAATGAAGAATGTTCTCGGGTTGTAGACTAGGCCCAAAGAGGGAGTAAGGAGTGGGCTCCAAAAATGAGAGGTGGGTGTTGGAGAGCTCACAAGGCCACTCTGAGCCCAGCAGTCAACAAGCCATGGGAGGTTGAACTTTCACCGTGCAGACCTGCAGGCATTAGGGGCTGTGATCTGTTTGGAGCTAATTCCCAGTCATCACTGTGGGACAGCCTCCCGCTTGCTGATTTTGCAGAAAGGCTGAAATAACAACTAGTCGGAGTTTGTGTGCTCTGCCCTTCTATTCGTTCATCTCACCTCCTCACACTCAAAGAAGTACATGCATCTTCCACATACCGTGTGGGTTTTAAAGTACTTTTATTGCAATCGAGGCTCCATAAAATGCAGACAAACGGTAACCTATAGAGGTATGTTTCTGAAAACAGAAGCCTGCTTTTTATGTTCCATGTGAGCAGTGTGTGTGTGTGTGTGTGTGTGTGTGTGTCATTGTGTGTGTGTGTGTGTGTGTGTGTGTGTCATTTCTGTAATCATGACCACATTTAAAGGAAGTAACTTCTGGGGTGAAAATGTGCCATAAACCACACTTTTTGAGATGTTCTCTAGATAGACTATAATTTTAGGTCTCTCCTGAACTGGCAGCACTAAAGAGATCTGTTTCAGAGGAACAATGCCCAGTTTGTGTCCACGCAGAGCCACTTGCTGTCTCATCTTTATTTGCGGTTTTTCAGGAACACGACCCTGTGTGTTACCCTGAGAGTTTACCAAAACAACAACTATAACAAAGAGCATTGATTTTTAACTGAAAAGAAGTTATTATTTCCTCTTTTGAGTACTGAGAGAGCTTGTTCCTGAGTGAGTTTTACGTGTGGGTTTTTAGACAACAAAATATTCTCCATTGTTCAGATGAAGCTGTAAGTTTTGAACTGGGTTAGCTTTAAATTTTTCTCTCAAGAAAGAAAGAAAAAAAATCAAAGCCACACACAATACATCCAACATAACAAGAAGAATAGGTTTCTGGGGGGTTGAAAAATATTATTACAGGGATAGTGTACAATGTACTTAAACTCCGCTCTGCCATCTGTGCTCACCATCTGCATCCACCTCTCAGCCCTTCCAAAACCTTCCTGGGTCCTCTTAGATGGAGCTGAGTGGGTTTGTAATTTGATGTATTTACCCACTCGTGGCAAATCAATAAAATGCTTTAGGCAATTAGTCTCTCTTTATTGCTATTCCCAACTCACACCCCCAAAAGATAAATATTTAGCCGATATTTGAAAACTACAAGAAAACCTAGAGACAGGAATGTTCAATATCGATAATTTATTTTTGATTTTTAAGTTGCTCCCTTCATAGGAAAATCCCTTTGGGGCATCAGCACACAAAAGATTTTAAATACGTGGAAAATATCTCTTTATAGAATGCAGACATTTAGGCCAGGTGCGGTGGCTCACGCCTGTAATCCTAGCACTCTGGGAGGCCGAGGCGGGAGGATTGCTCGAGGTCAGGAGTTCAAAACCAGCCTGAGCTAGAGCGAGACCCCATCTCTACTATAAATAGAAAGAAATTAATTGGCCAACTAATATATAGAGAAAAAAAAAATTAGCCAGGCATGGTGGCGCATGCCTGTAGTCCCAGCTACTCGGGAGGCTGAGGCAGTAGGATTGCTTGAGCCCAGGAGTTTGAGGTTGCTGTGAGCTAGGCTGACGCCAAGGCACTCACTCTAGCCTGGGCAACAAAGCAAGACTCTGTCTCAAAAAAAAAAAAAAAGAAACTGTGGGTATACAGTGGAATACTATTCAGCTTTCTAGGAAATCCTGTGATTTGTGACAACATGGATGAACCTGGGGGACATTATGCTAAGTGAAATAAGTCAGGCACAGGAAGAGGAACACAGCAGGATCTCGGGTGGAATCTAAAGAAGTTGAACTCCTAGAAGCAGAGAGTAGAATGGTGGTTGCTTTGGGGGGGGTAGTAAGGAATGTTGGTCAAAGGGTACAAAGTTTCAGTTAGGAAGAAACAAAAAAGTTTAAACCTTAGGTAAAAGGTTTTTTTATTTTTCTTGCTTGTTTCCTTTTTATTATCCCTATAATGTTTATATTTTTATAATAAATATTTCTATTCAGAAAAAAGGCAAATGGTATTCCCAAGTTTTAAGGATGAAAACACAGATTTTTAATTTAAAAAAATCATGGTATGGATGTTTTTGAAATGATCGAGAAATTTGTTTTCTAAAAGAATTCTTGATTGGTTCTGAATTCAAACGTAAATGTTGTATTAGTTTGCTAAGGCTAATGGAACAAAATGCCACAGGCTAGGTGGCTTAAACAGCAGAAATTTATTTTCTCACTGTTCTGGAGACTGGAAGTGTAAAAGCAAGGTGTCAGCAGATCAAGTTCCTCCTGAGGTCTCTCTCCTTGGCTTGTAGATGGCCCCCTTCTCACTGTGTGCTCGCATAGTGTCCCTCTCTCTGTGCTGTGTCCTAATGTCCTCTTCTTAGAAAGCACCAGTCATACTGACTGATGTAGGGCCCACCTTAACAACCCCATTCTAACTTAATTACCTATTTAAAAGCCCAATCTCCAGGTACAGTCCCATTCTGATGTTCCAGCAGGCGTGAACAGCTCTTGGCCGAAGAAAAACCCGAGCAACACGCAGAGTTGGAGAGTCAGCTTGCTTTATTTCGCCGGCCGGCTCAGAGAGGCATACCTGCCACCAAACTCTGAGTGCCCTTTTTCTTTTTCTTTTAGTTTTATACCTTGTTGGGGGTTACAGTTAGCCAATGGCAAGTTTTCACAAAAGTCACCTCATTTACATAGCAGTCAGCCAATCAGAAGTATGTCCCAAAAGTCACCTCATTTACATAGTAGTCAGCCAATCAGAAGTATGTCCCAAAAGTTACTTCATTTACATAGTAGTCAGCCAATCAGAAGTATGTCCCAAAAGTTACTTCATTTACATAGTAGTCAGCCAATCAGAAGTACGTCCCAAAAGTTACTTCATTTACATAGTAGTCAGCCAATCAGAAGTACATCCCAAAAGTTACTTCATTTACATAGTAAGCCAATCAGAAGTATGACCCCAAATCACCTCATCAGCTGTGAGGTGCTCAATTTAGGAGCAGGATAAGCAAAACAGGCGGGTTTTGGTGGAACGCCCTGACACTGAGGGACCAGAGGTTACTTCGACATATGAATTTGGTGGGGGGCATAATTCAGCCCCTAACAAATGGCAGTGCTTTCTTAGCCCCAGAAGCATGTTTACGTCTGTCCATCTCTCTGTCTCCCTGTCTCTTATTTCTCCATCTCTCTGTCTCCCTGTCTCTTATTTCTCTATCTCTCTGTCTCCCTGTCTCTTATTTCTCCATCTCTCTGTCTCTCCACTGCTTTCTCTGCTAGGTAACCTCACAGCAGAAATACCAACTCTGGTGAAGAGCATTAGCATTGGCGCACCAGGCTGGTGGTGCCTGACATTCGTGGGGCATCTGGTGAGCTTTCTCAGCCTTTTCAGACACGTTTCTGTGTGTACATGTCACCATGTCACCAATGGGACTCTGAGGTCCCCGCAACCTCACCTGCAGGCAGACCAGCAGCCTGAGTCCCGCCTGTGTATTCTACAGTGAAGCAAAGCAAAACCAGTCTCCATGCAGGTCCTCTCACTGCTTAGGGGATCAGGGTGTCCTCCCCAGGCTCCGCCCCTTCTACATGTACAGCCCAAAGCGTGGGGACCCATCTGCAAGTTACAGCCCCTGGGGAGCGGTCAGGAAGCGCAGCGTCCATAGGAGCCCGCAGGCTACTTGGGGAGACAGCAAATAACCAATCACACAGGACATAATCAGAAAATGGGAGCAAACTGTCTCAAGTGTCACTGCCTGACCCATCAGATGTCACCAGGCCCTCACTGGCCAACACCGAGCCTTCTCTCCTTGCCAATCGCATTGAAGCAGACAGACATCAGCCAGTACCGGTCTGCTAGATGAAAACCCACCTTGTTGCGGTTTTCCTAGAGACACGGTGGGAGAAGGGGGGAGGTAGTGTAGGGACTTCACATGCAGGTCAGGAATCATCTGCAGGCTGGAACAAAGTACAGATGGCCCGAGCAGGGAAACAAGTGTTAGCAATTTTTCCTGTCCCCCAATTGTATTACAGAGCTCTCTTTGGGAACTCTCTCAGCGGACATTGGACAATGTACATAAGCTGGATGAAGGTGATGAGCAAAGAGGGTGACGACCAAGAGCAGCCCTGAGGGGTTTTTGCTAGGTTCTGATTCAAAATACTGTTTGCACGTGTCTGCCAATGCCCCCAATATGTCAGGCCCGGCCACCTTTCATCCTAGCCTATTTCAGATTCCACTAATGTGTGCTGAATGCCTGAAAAAGTGTAATTTCATTTAGTTCTCACACAGCCCTGTAAGGTCAGCTACGTTACCCCCACTTTGCAGATGTAGAGACTGCTGGTCCGAGCAGCTCTGAGGCACCTAGATTCCAAGCCAGGGCTTCTAACTCCGAATCCAGTGCTATTTCCACTCTACTCTTTTCTTGGGTCCCCAGATATGTCTTCTTTCACAGTTGTCCTTCCTTTGAGTAAGGATTACTTCTGCCAGTGTACAGCCACCACAATCAACACATTCAGATTACCTGAAGCATCTCCATCGGCTGAAAAGTTTCTTTATTTTGTATGGAACTTTGTGCCAGTGCTTTCCCACCCTTGTAAATTGCAAGCATTCCCTTGAGACCCCACAGGCA